AGGCAGAGTGGTTTAGCAAGCTAGTGTTGTTATCGTTGTTGGTGATTTAAACGAGTTATAATGAATTATCCAAATATTATTAGTTTGACACATACACATAAAATTATGGCAGTCATTTAAATCTCAGTAAATAAAAAAAGAAAGAAAAAATGAAAACTTTGTTGATATCATGATACACACACACACACACACACACACACACACACACACACACACACACACACACACACACATAAACACACACATATACACACACACATATACACACACATATAACACACATATACACACACAATACACACACACATATACACACACACATATACACACATATACACACACACATATACACACACACATATACACACACATATACACACTAACACACACTATACACACACTATACACACATACACACACACACACACACACACACACACACACACACACACACACACACACACACACACACACACACACACACACACATTTACCAAACTGCGGCAGGCCAGGATTCGACCCCACGACACACTGTCCCCCCTCAAGAGGCCAAACACTGTATGTGTCACCCAACCATCTAAGCAATCGATCCTACAAACATGAGCCTAGCGTACTGGACTGGTTTAATGTTGTTAGGTAAGACACATATGCAACAGTTAGGTATCTTTATTATGAAACGTTTCGCCTACACAGTAGGCTTCTTCAGTCAAGTACAGAAAAGTTGATAGAAACAGAAGATACTTGAAGACGATGTAATCAGTCCATCAGACCTGGTTTAATGTTGCGATGAGACTCGTGGCAGATGTATGCTCAAGGATTAATTTCAACCTCCTCCTGTTTAAATACCCACCTCCACATGTGTATTTATGTGAATTAACAGGATGTAGATTTTAACATCAGAGCTGACTTGGCAGCCTAACGCAACACTGCTTTAATTGAGGTGATAGATTAGCCTAATCAACTTTTCTAAGGCCAGCCTAAATTTAGTTATATAACATAAATGAAATATATTCATTTCATGATATTCCGACTAATTTTTTTTATGGAGTTACAGGAAAAATAATTATAAGTTCGGCTTGTTTGGCAAAGGTTCGTTGCTTCATAAGTCCGGTTTGTAGGTACAGTATAACCCACATATATACAGATTAAACAATAAATACTGGGTAAGAAAACAAGCTATTTGAGGACTTGATTATGTGGGTGTTCTCAGTGATGATGTGATCCACTGTAGTGGTGGTCCTGTTAGTACTGTTACTGCTGCCCCTGGTTCTGTTAATAATGCTGTTGCTGTTTGTGATGCTGCTTCTGATGGTGCTGTTACTGTTGCTTTTGCTGACCTTCGTATAAAATACCGTTGCTGTTGGTGTTGCTGCTTCTGCTCTGGTGATGCTGATACTCCTAATGCTTCTGTTAGTGCTGGTGATGGTGCTGTTGCTACTACTGGCGATGCTGTTTCTGCTTGTACTGTTGCTGTTATTGGTGCTGCTGCTGATGGCGTTGCTGCTTGTAGTGGCCCTGCTAGCTACTACAGGCGGCGGTGGTGGTTCTGCTGTTCTACTAACAAAGAACATGAGGGGGGGGCGAGGCAGGGGGAAGAGAGGTTAGGAGTAATCATCTGTGAAACATGTTACTACTATATAGGAAACACCTGTGTTACTTGTCCCTGAGCAAGTGGCTTGCTCACCTTGCTGCTGACTCCTCTTTCCTCTCTCTCTCTCTCTCTATGATCTGTGTATTGTTCCAGTCACAGTATTCTCTCTCTCTCTCTCTCTCTCTCTCTCTCTCTCTCTCTCTCTCTCTCTCCTGACAGTTTTCCAGTGGCTCAGGTTAATATCGAAGATTATTATTGTTCATGAGACAGTGTTAGAGAATAAAAAGGTACCATACTGTGACTGGAACAATACATACACACACACACACACACACACACACACAGCAAGTCAGCATGTGGAATAGCCTAGCAAGTGAAGTAGTGGAGGCAGGAACCATACATAGTTTTAAGAAGAGGTATGACAAAGCTCAGGAAGCAGAGAGAGAGAGGACCCAGTAGCGATCAGTGAAGAGGCGGGGCCAGGAGCTGAGTCTCGACCCCTGCAACCACAATTAGGTGAGTACAATTAGGTGAGTACACACACACACACACACACACACACACACACACACACACACACACAGAGGAGACTGAAACATAGGACGACATTTCGGACTCGGGCCATCAACGTCGCCATAACTTTATGTGCGGGTTATTTGTGTGTAGAAAACGTTAAACCTTCATGGGTCGTACAGCGCTTGAGGAAATGGGAAATAATCAGGTTTTAGCCGAGGAAGGGAGGATAACTCCAATTCCTTGAATCAAGAGCCCTTCGCCAGCATCCAGTCCAACCCGCTTCCCGTCTGAAGGGAGATCAAGGAAGACTCGCGCCCTTTGTCTAACATTTTCCATATGACAAAGTCAGGCAGAAGTCAAGAGCAACAGGAAAATGTTAAGGATTACGTAACATTTCTGACATAGATACCCTAGGATAGAAACCATACCACGGGCGGGATTGAACCCGCGGTCAGAGAGTCTCAAAACTCCAGACCGTCGCGTTAGCCACTGGACCAGCTAGCCACAAGATTCGTCCAACTAGGTATATTTCTAAAACTTGCATTTGTGGTCACAGTGGTGCCTGTGCTAACCTTCCTATGGTGTAGAAATATACCTAGTTGGACGAATCTTATAGTAGCTAGCTGGTCCAGTGGCTAACGCGACGGTCTGGAGTTTTGAGACTCTCTGACCGTGGGTTCAATCCCGCTCGTGGTATGGTTTGTTTGCAATCGTGTCATTACGATTTCGTGAGTCATGTACCCTAGGATAGGTAAGTAACTGAAAATTAACGTCTTTAGCAGGATGAACAATCTTTAATCAAGCTAAAAAATAACTATTCTGGAAGTGATTCCTAGTTTCAAGATTATGAATGTGTGTCTGGAGTATATATTGAGTGCGAACATAAGCTATGTGTATGTCTAGATCAACCTTTGTAATCTTTAGATTACCGCCCACAGGATGGGTATGGGGTGCATAATAAAGATATTAAACTAACTTGTTCCACTCGTTGCTCAAGTCCCATTGTTCATTTACATCAGTACAGGCTAAGATGTTAGGCCAAAGAAAACTTTGATTCAAGTGTCCTAACTCGCTCATAACATTAATAGACTTTACTACTGCCCAGGTGGAAATTAAGTCATTTTGACTTTTTTGGGGGTTATCCTAAGTAATCTACACATGTTACTATGTATGATGATTGTACTTATACCTAAATAAACTTATTAGTACTCAACCCACATGGAGACGGGAACATATAATGTATAGGAAGTTAATACAGCAATTGTGTGTATGTAATATTATGTATATTACATAATTATTATTATATCAGATGCTTTTCAGAGTATTTCACCATTATTATTGTTATACTTAATAACTGTAACTGTAAATCGGATATAAATAACACCGGAAGTCCATATAAGTCATCGACTTTACAGTTTTTAAGTTGGTTATATATCTGCAGAGCACGGCCAGACTTAATTAAGCGTAGACTGAGCCACACTTTAGGGCCTTTTGATATGAAGCCTCAAAAGCTTTTGATCGCCATACACTTATTACCTATTTCGACTTTTTAAGATTCCTTCAGCATAAGGCCTCAGGAGGTCAAAGTCTGGCTTTGCTCCCCCTACTTTGACGGGTGTAATTACTGCGACCTTATAACTACATACAACAATATCTCGCCCTTCTTTCCTCTGATCCCTTTCTTTACTTCCTCCTCCCTGATCTTTCTTTCCTTTTCCCTCCGTTCTTCTTCCTTCTCTACATGTCCTCTCACTCCCATAGTGCACTACTGTCCTGGCACATTTTGTGCCTCAGTACATTCTCTGATTCATGAAATTCAGACATTTTTGGCCCGTCTCCATAACAAGCATAAGTTAGTTTAATATCTTTATTATGCACCCCATACCCATCCTGTGGGTGGTAGTCAAAAGATTACAAAGGTACACAATGGGTCCAGGGACTGGACCCCAAAGTTATGATAGCTGAACTAGTTACGAAGGTAATGAACTCCAGGTAGATCTGGTCACAATCATGGCAAGTTACAAAGGTAATGAAGGTAAATGTGGCGTGACGTACAGATATATGAACAAACTGTACGCAGTTCAGCAGGATGTAAATGTTTGACTCTCCTCTTGAAAATTCTTACTGTTTGGAGAACCCTGTCCTCTCCATGAAGTTTTCTTCCGCTGACTACGAGCCACAATAACATATACAGTGGACCCCCGATTAACGATATTTTTTCATTCCAGAAGTATGTTCAGGTGCCAGTACTGACCGAATTTGTTCCCATAAGGAATATTGTGAAGTAGATTAGTCCATTTCAGACCCCCAAACATACACGTACAAACGCACTTACATAATTGGTCGCATTGGGAGGTGATCGTTAAGCTAGGCTCTGGCCTTGCAGGAAAGTTATTAAACTTATAAGATAGTTTTATATAATTGTTTTAATGGTTTGGATGGTTTCATTTTGGGTGTGTTGTTAGCTAGTATGTAAGTTGTAACTTACACAGACTGATGAATAACTTTCAAGTTCCAGCGTTCTACAGTCCTTTTCTCTGCACCTTAATAATAATAATAATATTATTATTATTTCAACAAATACATGTACAATGTGTACAGGCCTAGTTGACATCAGTGACATACTGCTATATAGAAAGCCCCTTGTTATGCAGAGCATTTCGGGCAAATTAGGTCAATTTTGCCCCCAGGATGCGACCCACACCAGTCGATTGATACCCAAGTACCTATTTTACTGATAGGTGAACAGGGACAGCAGGTATCTTAAGGAAACACGTGGTTCGGGGGGATCGAACCACGGACCTCAGTTTATGAGCTTAGTGCGCTAGCAACATTTATTGATGTCTCTCATTTCCATCTTCCCTACCCACATAATCTTTGTTTTCTGGTGCAGGTCGATGCGGCCGGTGGCAGAGACTGGGGAGCTGTCACGGCTACGGTTCAAGATGTACTCGATGTACGCTTGGGGGTGTCCTATTGTGATTTCCCTGGCAGCCATCATTGTCCAGACTCTCCCTCCAAACATCCAGGTCGTCAGACCAGAGTTTGGCAACAAGAAATGCTGGTTTGATAGTGAGTATCATACAAGCCTTATTGATGCTGAGAATGAGTTGCCATGTAGCCTTGTTGAAGATTTCATTTGGATTTGTAACCTTATAGACCTGATAACCCAGGATAAGTCAAGGTCATGCAACATGGCATTACATGAATAAAAACGGCTATACTTACCAACAGAAAGACTTATCTGTAATAATATAGTAAGACTTATCTGTAATAATATAGTAAGACTTATCTGAAAATTTTTTTTGGGAAAAAAAAAAAAACAGCAATCTTGAGAGTGGAGTTCCATGCTACTTCTGTAGGCAGGGACCCTCGAGGGTACCTGCCTGGGGAAGGGCTCTTGATCTAGGGAATTGGATCTGTGCTCCGATTCCCCGAATTAAACCTGAATACCTTCCACACCCCTTCCCCCAGGTGCTGCATAATCCTATGGGTTTAGCCCTCCCCTTTGATTATAATAATAATTCCTGGCTAGTGGAACACAGGAGACGATCACAGATTATATACACAAAACTTGTATGTCTTAGTATATGTACACTAAGAGTACTTTAATCCAATTTTTAGAAATTAAAGTATTCATGACTGATGGTGACTAGGTGACATGCAGCCTTAATGAACTTTGTTTTGTCGAAAGGCTTTAAAACCAACATAAGTGTTGTGCCCATGGTAATTACCTACAGGACTTTTTAATTAGTAATATTCATGGAGGGAGTGTTAAAGCCTTAAAAAGGCTTTATACCACCTGGGGAATGGGGGGGGCAGTCAGATTCGATGCCAGGAAGGGAAGAGCAAATCCAATTCATTGGGCCAAGATCCTCTCACTGGCATCAAGGAACCTCCCTTGTAGCGGCCAGCAGTAACAGCCTGGTTGATCAGACCCTGATCCACCACGAGGCCTGGTCTCAGACCGGGCCGCGGGGGCATTAACCCCCAAATCCCTCCTCAGGTACACTACAGGTGTCGTGTCTTCTGTAGCCCATACCATTATTCTACCTCTCTAAAGAACTTGCTAATAACATTTATTTTGGCACCTCTTCTTTCTATGTTTAGAGCAATGGACTCATGTTCACTTTAAGGGCAGGGATCTTACACATTTAGTAATATATCCATAGTGGTGGCGCGAATGTAATCTCAAGTGATGGTGATGTTAATAATGGTTAATGGTTCCTCCAGGAAGGTGCCTTGATACCGGTGATGGATTCGTGATCCAAGGAACCGGACTTATCCTCCCCCTTCCCTTGATCTAGCCTGAATTCCTCCCGGGTGCTACGTGACTCCGGGTTTAGTGCTTCCCGTGATTAATATAGTCGTTAATGGCATTTAATGGTTATATATACCTAGTGATATTATAGATATAGCAGTGAACCATGCCTGTGCAAGTGAGTTAAAAAATGTAGTTATGATGGTGAGTGAAAAATTAGTTTTGACCATCCATCAATGATGTGATAATTTTAAGGATTATTATTATTATTATAATCAAAAAGAAGCGCTAAGCCACAAGGGTTATACAGCGCTGCAATAATTTTAAGGAGATCATTGGAGACTGCACGTTACCACTATCTTCGTTGTACATACGCCACATGTATTTAATGTATTTAGTTTACAATATATTTGAGTGTATGTCTTTCCAGATGACAAGTCGCTGTGGGCATACTTCTACGGGTTCGTGCTGGTGCTGGTAATAGCCAATATCATCTTTTTCGCCCAGGTGGCTTACATCCTCCTGGTGGCTCAGAATGATCCCATCCTACAGCGTACACGTCAGCAGAATAGAGAAAGGTCAGTACTCCTCAGCTTCATTTTTACTATATTTTACAAAGTGACAGAAGCTTATTGAATCCTATATTATTCACTCTCCACTTGCCTGGTGCTGGCTCATCTGACTGAGAGCCCAGGACCCTCTTGACTTTAATTTGTCCTCTATAGTGATGGCATTTTCCCACTTGGTAAAGCTTGCTGCTGGAAGAATGTGAAGGAAATTATTGTCTACATCGATCCCAGATTTTCTGTCAACTGTAGTGTTGTGGTGGCAGTCAAACCACCCAATGATGATTTGACTGATGATGAAAGACCTAGTGAATGTTGCTTGTAGATTCGGAAGTGGAGCTGAAGCGGTTCTCCCTCGCCAATTATTTGCTGAATGAGATTTGTACTATGCTGGAGCCTCATGTCTAAACAAGCTCAGTTAATTTTGAAGAACCCCCTTAGGTGTCTTTATTGTCAATCTGTGGTGGAAAGACCTTTCATTAGTGAATGCTTTCATAAATAGGACATTGCACTCACTGGAGCCTTCAAGCACTTTATCAACTCCCCAGTAGGTGAAAGGTTCCATTATAAATGGAGTTCTTGTTGAAACGGGGTAATTTTGGACTATATGTTGGCTCAGTCATTCATTCACATAGAAACTATCATTGGTCCCTAGGTACCCCATTTGCAAGTGAGAATATGTGTAACTTGGGCATTGTATTTTTGTAAATAAACTATATTGTGTTAGTATTTGTTTGTTAAACTTTTAAGGTGTATTGTACTTTCAGGATGTGGTTGTACATTAAGTTGTTCCTGGTGATGGGTCTGACATGGCTTGCTGAGGTTATTTCTTGGCAGGAGGGAACGTGTGAGGCCTGGTTAGTATGGGTAATATTGTGATCTTTTTCATTAAACAAAAGTGTAACATTAATTGTATGTGGTAGAAATTTACATTTGAATTTCCCCTCAAGGAAGGTTCCTTGATGTTGGTGAGGGGCTCTTGATTTAGGGAATTGGATCTGTGCTCCAGTTCCCTGAATTAAGCCTGAATGCCTTCCACATCCCCCCCCCAGGCGCTGTATAATCCTCCGGGTTTAGCGCTTCCCCCTTGATTATAATAATAATATATTTGAATTTATATAACACAATAAACCTAAAGAAAAATCATAATATTGTATTTAAACTCAAAAGGAAGTGACACATTTAAATTTATTTACAATTGGTAAAAAAATCAGTTTGTTTTCACTAGCCGGAGATCCAAGCTGAGATATAGTTGTTCATTAAAGAATTTGCAGCCTCTTGCCATTACGATTAGGAATCATTTTATCATTTTGTAAGGTAAGTTTAAATCTCTGCCTTAGATATACACACTCTTGCCACATTATTGTTCACTGATCACTATTGCACTGATTATCAATATTTTCCTTTGCAGGATGATCACTGACATCATAAATACACTTCAGGGCTCATCAATATTCCTGATTTTCATTTGCAAGAGGAATATGCTGCGAAGAGTAAGTGCATTTCAATGATCCTGTTATCACACTTTACATAATTTCTGAATCTCAAATCAACCTCTTTACTTAGCAACTGAGAATAATTATATAAAAGAACAACCCCCTAAATCTTGATCTCTCAGTACCAAGACTGCTGAGGTTTAATGAGTTTCCAGTTTTGAGGAGCTAAATATAATCAGGTACACTTTCCTATTATTTCCTGAAAAGCCAATGTGATAATACGCCACTTTCATACTTAGCTACAACTTCTTTTTTTAATTCCATCATGTTTCTTGCCTTCTTTATCAAATGGCTAGCATTTGGAACTTTGTTTGGCCCCATGGTGGCTTATATAGCATTTGCACTCGATAAACAAGCACAAAACACAATAGATTATTATGAAATGTTTCTGCTGAATGCACTGGGCGATGCTCACTCAATGCCAAACAAAGGCAGACTGAGTCACTCAGTGCTTGAGTGGCTGAGTGACACAGGCAGGCGGACGGGTTCAGTACGGACCATTGTCAACTTTACGAAAACCGAGGTGATGTACGAAAACTGGGACAAAATTTTGACGGAAAAAGTTGTCGAAAACTGAATCCTACAAAAATTGGGGTGTACAAAAACCTAGGTTCCACTGTATTTTTATTATTATATTTATGGGAATCTCTAAAGTCTAAACCCTTTGGGTTCACACAATATTGGGGAATGGAAGGCAATCCTCATTTTTTAACCATTCGGCTATATTATTATCACAGGTATTATTATTATATTCATGAGGGAAACACTACACTTGTGTGGGTTATACAGCACCTGAGATAATGGGAGGCAATTAAGTTTGATTCAAAGAAGGAAGAGGCGAGTCCAGTTTCATAGATCATATGATCCTAGGGGTTGAACAGCCTCCTTTGAGGGGCAGGCTATTTGTAAACCTTTTCTATATGATTATGACGTGTAGACTGAGATTATAACCAATGAGCAGTGCATGACTGCAGTGCATCAGTCTTAGAAAAACTTTTCTAATTTTTTTTTTATTCACATGGATAAGTAGTGAGAAAAAAAACAAGAACAAGAGCTATTAAGAAAAAGAAGAAAAACTCTAGATGTGTGTCTGTATATATATACATGTATATGCATGTGCATGCCTGTGTAGTGTGACCTAAGTGTAAGTAGAAGTAGCAAGATATACCTGTTATCCAGCATGTTTATGAGACAAAAAAGACACCGGCAATCCTACCATCATATTAAACAGTTTCAAAGGTCTGTTTCACAGTCGCCTGGCAGGGCGGTAGTACCTCCCTGGGTGGTTGCTGTCTACCAACCTACTACCTTGGGGGTTATGGTGAGCAGCAACCTTAAACCAAGACAGCAATGCCTAAGTGTACATAATAAGGCAAACAGATTACTGGGATTTATATCAAGAAGTGTAAGCAACAGAAGTCCAGAGGTTATAGTACAGCTTTATACATCATTAGTAAGGCCTCACCTAGATTATGCAGTTCAGTTCTGGTCTCCATATTACAGAATGGATATAAATTCGTAATGATTTTAGGTATACTTCATCAAGGACAGGAAGCCTATGGCTTTTCAAGGTCCTCTTAGTCATCCATCCAATTACTAGCCAGACCCAGTCATGCTTAACAAGCCTCACCAAGCAACATGCACATCATTTCCACCACCACATACTGGGAGGCCTCTGCTTTTTACCACTGTATCTCTGCCATTGATGAATGAGGTCGCCTAGTCCAAATCTTTGTACTTTTTTGTGCATGTACTGTACATATAATACAGTAATAGTTTTGGATACCAAAAAGCAATGCCTTGAATAATTACCTAAGAGTTTGGTTCATCAAATTAGTTATGAAGGAAGAACAATGTGCTTGTATTTTTAATACATAAATAAATATAAATATGCTGTATGCCTTACTAATACAGGGTGTTTTTATCTAGATCCGCAACAACTGGGAGCCATACTTGCGTCGTGTGAAAGAATTCTTTGGTTCATCCCGTCAGTCACAGTCTAAAACGGGTAAACGTAGCCAGGAGAGTACCTCATTCAGCTCATCTGTGAATCGACCAAGTCATTCAGCAGCCTCGCAGAGGACTGTCCAGAGCCAGATCTCTTTTGATCCATCATCTGCTTCAAGGTCAGTTTAGTTAAAGAAAATTAAATCCATAAACGAGGTTGTACTAAAAAGTTCACAAAAAATATTCATCACTCCCTAACATACGTATTACTTGAAGGAGAGATCTGCTTTACTACACTTGCTAATGTTTATGCCTACATTGTGCTTATGCTATCCTTGAATAATAATATTTATTATTGTAAGTGTTTTGTAACTACAGTATTACATAAAAAACAGGTACTGTTCAGATAAATTTCTTTTTAGATTACTCTACTGTCATAGCTTATCTGTCTTAATATACAATACTGTAATAACAGCATAATACATACAGTTGAGGCAGAATGTATGTTGTATTGCTATATGTAATTATGCATGAGTAATTCAGGATGGACTACAATGTGTAATTTCTTCTCTAATTTGTAAGTTAATTGTTAATTGTTCCAATCGTAGTGTTGTGACTTATTCTTCATCCACACAGGAAGTTGTCAGCATCATCTCTAGTATCTACCACTGGTGCCCAAATTCACTCTCCCAACTCCATCTCAATGGACACCATCAATGAAGTTACCAGCCCAGAAGGTGAACAAGCTGAGAAAAGTAATGCATCAGCTGAAGAAAGCACTTGTTTGCCTATTGCTATAAATCCTTGGAATGTGAGTGAAAGCATATCCACTAACAGTATTACCACTGGTGATCAGTGCACTCCCATGAGTGAATTAAACTCTGTTGTTGAGCACATGGATGATGATTGCCTACCTAACAGCAACGATGAGCCAACTCTGTCATCTGTCAAGAAGGAGGCTTCCTTGAGATTATCTAATGAGGATGTTCCTACAAGTCAGATAGATCACAAGGAGTCTGCATCAATCAGAGATGGTGAGAGAGAAGTGCCTTCCAGAAGTGTAAAGGAAGCTACACATCAGACAGAGAGTGAAAATACTACTCAACAGAGAAAGTGTGTGAATGCTGCCCCAGCCAAAACCACAGAAAATGCCACTGTAAAGACCCATGATGATACTGAAATTTTTGGTATAGGTAATGGGTCTGTGCCACCAAGGCATCACAGAGCATTTACCACAGATGATGAGGATGATCAGCCTGTAGATGTGTGATAAGTGTTCTTGTTTGGACTTTGCCAGTACAGTATTTCTTAAATAAATATGAATTATAGCTACAGTAATTTTATAATTTCCGAGAATCATTATTTAAAATAACTGTGTACAGTATATAATTTCATATACACTGTTATATATACATATATAATTAATGTTAATTCTGATGAGCCAGGTTTACCATAGATATGTTGGAAACCTCACATTTTGTGCAGTTTCTTAGGGTTACACTTCTGTAAAAGAAATTAGTTAAACTATGTGACATATTGTAAATTAGATTATTATTACATTCAACGAGAGTGTTAAATCTGTAGGTGTCATACAGCACCTAGGGAAATGGGAGCCAAAAATACAGTAACTGTATTTATCTGATGAAGATTAAATGTAGTGGATTATGTTTCAATGTACCTTGTATAAATCAGTGAAATTACAATAGCTGACCAGTAAATGTACATGAATTAATGTTAATATACTTTCGAACAACTGCAGGCATCCAGTCTTTGCGTATCTCGTTGATTCATAAAATCTTTTAAATATACTTCTAAAACACATTTACATATACCATATGTCTGGAAATGTGGTACAGTATATATTAGTGGAATAAAAGTGTTATTCGCAAAATTATATTGAAATTAAGAAGATAAGGCTTACATATGTATTAATGATTTATTCAGAATATTCATGTGCTGTGAACTGGAAATATCATAGAGGATTATGTGGAAAGTCTTGAGTAATTTTTTTTTAATCTCAGCAGCTATCTCCTGCCAAGGCAGGGTCACAGGAAAGAAAACACATCCACTTTCATTAATTCAATCACTGTCTTGCTAGAAGTGTGCTGACTGCAGTACTCCCACCCATTCCTCAGAGCACAGGCACTGCCTTTTCCACTTCCAGAATCCAAGTCTAGCTAGCCAGTTTTCCTGAATCCCTTCATAAAAGTTACACACTCCAACAGCATATTCATTAAAAAAAAAAAAAAAACACTTGTCCCCATTTAGTCCTGTCTAACAAGCTCATATAAGCCTGCTGGATGCTCAAGCCTTAGAACTCATTGCCTCTTTTGTTTTTCCTTTCCCTGTAAACATTCCTGAGACAATCCCTACTCCTACTTTCCACCCTACATTTATAGTCTCTGTCATCCTATCCACTCCATACTCTCAACATGCCCAACTCCCTCCCTCAGTGCAAACAGTTGGTACATTTCTCATTATAATTATATGCATGCACTACATACTTACCTACACATACAAATACATGTACCCTGGTGGTAGACAGATAATGTGTTAAAAACTTATGTATACTGTATATATGAAAGCAGCCAGCATATGGAAAGACATTATAGAATTCTATAGCGAGCTGTGTCTGTATGAACACTCAGTACAGTGTGAGCGGAATGAAATTATAGTTACCACTTGATTATTGAAACAAGATTGATGGTAGTACTTGATGTTAATAGAAGCAAATCATACTTAATATTTTTACTGAATGCTTTATAAAAAATTTTCTTTATCAAGAAAGATAATTTTTCACCAAGGAATTGTAAAAGTATTTGGTGGCAGTAAAAAGCAGTCTACATTGGATGTACATTTATTCAGTATTTACTGTTCAGTTATTTTGTATGTATTACTGAAGTTTTGCCACATCATTCAACCTGTCCTGATGCAACAGTTGTTTCTGTAGATACAGTACCCGAGTGTGTATAATTGTTCTCAAGTTAGAGCAAAAATCAATAGTACCTTTCAGTGATATAGCCTCTGGCTTCACGTTATTCACTGGCCATAGCTGTTGACATTTGCTCGATATGTGAAGCTTATAAAAGTAGTGTCAGGTGAAGCATTGGTTCACTGGCAGAAAATTCAGCCTGGGGATTGAACCTAGGTCCTTTTGGCTGTGGGCTGAACACAACAAATAAGCTATGATCATAAATGATGTGAACAAAACTCAGTGTGGTCAAGCTGGAGACTTAAGTTGATGTGAATAGACAGAGCTTAATTTACTTCGTAACATGTACTAGCAGTGTATAATGAAACTTCTAAATTTGCGAGTAGTATTGTAATTTATGAGAGTCAGTTATACAGTTGCACAATGATTAGCCACCTTTTTTAAGATGCTTAGTTTCTTTGGCATATGAGTGTACAGAACAACTCTTAAATTAAAAAATAACCAAAGGATTTTGTCAAGAATATGTTCATTGGATTTGCCATCTCTAAATCTATTTTTTCTAGTCATTCTTTCTTATGAATGTCAATATTAATCAGATAAAAGTGATAATTAAAGAGATGTCCAAAAAGCAAATGAAAAAGTCAACTCAGTCATGAAATTTTTCTGAAAATTATTAATGTATAGTAGATGTAAAATATAAAATAAGAAAAACTTCAATAATTTGGACATCAAACTTTGCATCATTTGTGCCTTTAAGATTCATGAGGTCTTCAGGAACTTAACCCTCATGAATTCTGTGGTTCAACTGTGCAGTACTAGCATTACTGGTGTACAACATTATTTACCCACTAATGTTTCTTGTTTACTCAGGATGGTTTTCCAGAGTTTTATATGTAAAATTTTAATTGCATGAAATAAGAACTTCACTGTACAGTATTCATAAAGTAACCTTACTGGGGATGGATCCAGTATAGTCATGGACACATACAGGTGTGCTGGCTGCTGGATTGATCACCAATAATCTGTAAACGGCTGGCACTTAAATGTTATATGATTGTGCATAGTTTATATATTGATGTTATATACAATATATATTTTCATTTTTTTTAGGGGTCTTTGTGCTGTATATATCTGTAAATCTGATAAAGTAGAAATAACTCATTTTTAATAAAAATTAAATGATGCAAAGATTGATAGGTTTGTTAACTCACAAAAATAAATAAATATATATATACATGTATATATATATATGGGAGCAAGGGGCTAGTAACCCCTTCTCCTGTATATATTACTAAATTTAAAAGGAGAAACTTTAGTTTTTTCTTTTGGGCCACCCCGCCTGAGTGGGATACGGCTGGTACGTTGAAAGAAGAATATATATATATATACATATATTTTTTTTTTTTTCAGCAAGTCGGCCGTCTCCCACCGAGGCAGGGTGACCCAAAAAAAGAAAGAAAATCCCCCAAAAGAAAATACTTTCATCATCATTCAACACTCTCACCATACTCACACATAATCACTGTTTTTGCAGAGGTGCTCAGAACACAACAGTTTAGAAGCATATATGTATAAAGATACACAACATATCCCTCCAAACTGCTAATATCCCAAACCCCTCCTTTATATTGCAGGCATTGTGCTTCCCATTTCCAGGACTCAAGTCCGGCTATATAAAAATAACCGGTTTCCCTGAATCCCTTCACTAAATATTACCCTGCTCACACTCCAACAGATCGTCAGGTCCCAAGTACCATTTGTCTCCATTCACTCCTATCGAACACGCTCATGCATGCCTGCTGGAAGTCCAAGCCCATCGCCTACAAAACCTCCCTTACCCCTTCCTTCCAACCTTTTCGAGGACGACCCCTACCCCGCCTTCCTTCTACAGATTTAAATGCTCTCCATGTCATTCTACTTTGATCCATTCTCTCTAAATGACCAAACCACCTCAACAACCCCTCTTCAGCCCTCTGACTAATACTTTTATTAACTCCACACCTTCTCCTAATTTCCACACTTCGAATTTTCTGCATAATATTTACACCACACATTGCCCTTAGATAGGACATCTCCACTGCCTCCAACCGCCGCCTCGCTGCTGCATTCACAACCCAAGCTTCACACCCATATATGAGTGTTGGTACTACTATACTTTCATACATTCCCTTCTTTGCCTCCATAGATAAACGTTTTTTGACTCCAACACCACACACACACACACACACACACACACCACACACACACACACACACAACATAGAGAACAATGAAACAAATAAATTTTAGAAACACTTTTTTAAGTGTTTAAAATCTAGTAGCGATCAGTGAAGAGGCGGGGCCAGGAGCTCGGACTCGACCCCCGCAACCTCAACTAGGTGAGTACAACTAGGCGAGTATATATATATATAATAGATTTAATTAATTTATAACACAATTTGTTCACTTCAGGTGTCCCCCA